GTTAAGTTTAAAAATCATAAAGCATTAAATTATTTTCCTTTGTGGGGAATATGAAAATTGCTACAAGACAACATGTAATTAATACCTAAATTCCCAACTCCCAAAACTATTCCGCTACTTCTATTAAAATAAAATTAATTCTAGCATCTTGAGTAGCAATGCACAAGGTATTCCAATTATCTTGATTAGCAAGACACAAGATATTGGATATCTTTTAGATTTCTCTTGTTGGATACTTAATCTTTTAATAACTCTATTTTTGAGTCCCAACTTAATTAATATCTTTCTACTTGTATAATTTATATTGCTCTTGTTTTTGCTTAATTTGTTTATGTTGTTATAAAATAGTGAGGCGAATCTAGATTTATTCTGGAAATCTTTTATTTTTTCTTGATTCATCACCCTTTAAATAGTAAAAATATCTAAAGAGTTTTGCCAAAGCCCTATACAAATTTTATTACGTTCTAACTTTTATTAGCTACTCTATATGATATTCTTAAGAAAGAATATCATAAATTAATCGAATCGTATAGTTTTTAAAGAAATCAAGGTAATTGGGATGGTTTTAAAAAGTCTAATTCTTGTGCAAAATAGAATAATCAAAAAATTAATGTGGTATAAATCTATCTATATCTATATTATTATAAAAGCACGAATAATTTATGCTAAATGTTATATTACTAAAATATCCTCGAAACTTTGATAGACTTTTATACCCTTAATATTTTGAGTTAAAGGTGGATATAATTGTAATATTCCAAATATATTACCCAAGAATAGAATTCTTTCCAGATTAAAACTCCACATATGACGACAACAAATTCCTACTCTACCAATACCTAGAACATTTAAAACAACTACAACTGGTAAAGTTGGAAATAATTATGAATTTGGATAAACTTACTATACTTNCTTTCCAGATTAAAACTCCACATATGACGACAGCAAATTCCTACTCTACCAATACCTAGAACTTTTAAAATAACTATAATTGGTAAAGTTGGAAATAATTATGAATTTGGATAAACTTACTATACTTGTCATGATAAACAACTTGAATAAAAACTAATATTAAATATTATTGCATTCTTTAACCGACTTATAAATTTATTCGTATCATTTTGTAATTTTAAACTATTTAGTTCCAATTTATTATTTGATTATCACAACATTATTATGATTTGGTTTGCATTACATATATATAACTTCTATTTTAAGCAACTCATTATCTAACTTTAACAATTACTTATTTGTTAAAGTAATATATGACACAAGATATTCGTGCAACGCACGAGTATAGAGACTAGTTATATTAAAAGCACAAAGGCCCTTAGTGAAATATCGTTCGTCTTTTTACCCTTTAAAAATAGATTTTACTTTGGATAAAATTGTAATTAAACTATCTTCCTAATATTTAGAACTTGAAAATTCACGGAAATTTTGATTATTAAGTATTTCCTTATTTGAAGTATATACCTAAAATTTATGACTTAAAGGCAATTAATATTTTACCTTTAATAAATCATTAAAAAGGTCAAATATTTGGAAGGTCAGTACATAATTTTACGTCCATTTGAAGTAGTCAACAACTAGGGTAATTTTATTGAAGAACAATTCTACTAACATTTAGTATTTTCAACAAATTACATTAATTTATTCTCATTAAGTTGTAAGCTAACGTAAGAATAAAATTAAAACTATTAAATATATAGGAAAATAATATTTCACTCTTTTAATCTTGTCTTCTTTTATCTATCCAGAAACTATTATAATAGCACGAAACTCTAACAGAAAATTGATCGATCATTTTATCATTTAAAAATATATATTATATTGGACAAAAAAGTCATTTAATTAGTATTTTCTACGAGTAGTATTTAGAATGATGAAGTTAACTAAAATTTTGACTATTATATCTTTCCTTATTTAAAATATAGGAACTCATAACATTTAGAAATAATTTAATCCCAGTAAGATTTTACTTATATTAGTTAAATAAGTAAAGTTTTACGATAATTTATTTTATAAATTATTATTTTATCAAAAATAATAATAATCCATATGACATTAGAAATCTTTCACTTCAAGATGCAAAGAGACTCTTAAATTAATTGTTTTATATATCCAAGTGCAAATAATGGCAAGAGGAAGAGACAAAAACTCTAAAATCAAATTGCACAGAAATCTAACTCTAGAGCTCAAGATATTGTCGGATTGCTAAAATTTTGAAGATCTAAGACTTGGGTTAACTTTAGAATTGTAAGTTTGATATCGTGTTAATTTGTCAATATTTTTATTGGATTAGGAGCTTTTGGTTAATCTTTTTGTAGAAGATTTAAAAAGAGCTAAAAATATATATAAAAAAATATAATATGCTAAGTAATTGAAACAGATAGATCAAAGAAATTGATCTAAAATGACCTGACATTTTCACAGTTTGAATACATTCTCTCTGCCTCAAAGTGTCTTATTATACGTATGAGTTAGTCAATATGATCATATTCAAGTGAAGTACATGTTATTTTTAAAAACGAAATTGAAATATTCAGACACTATACAATAGAAATTATTATATTTTAAAAATATTTACGAAGTACATTAAATTAGTTTGATAAAAATAATAGGTTTTTTATTTCAAGATCACAAAGAGGAGGCCATTAATGTGTAAATTAAAACAAATCGTAGTTGCCTTATTTACTCTTTTTGGACTAATCATGGAAAAATATATTCTTTTATCTAGCATTAACTGGGAATCATGTGTCTCAATTATAAGCTATGGTGTTAACTACTATGCGAGAGCGTATTTGTTATTTAGGTTGCTAGCTTATGTGAAAAATATTAATAGCTATTGTCAACTCAAGTAATTCCCTTTTAAGAAAATATTTTGTCAAAAATATTATTGTGAATTTTTACAATTCTTGCATCGATAAATCTATATGGGTGATAGCTATAGCATATAATTGAAAATAAATATCAAGCTAGAAAAATACGTGACTAATATTATCCATCATAATTGAGCTAAAGGAAGTAAAAGCGCTACTCAACATAATCATCATATCTATTTATAAAGGATGGTACGAGAACCTAAAACTATTCCTAATAATATTTCAAATAAAAAGTATATGAGGACTTTTATAAAGCAGATATCTTTCTTCCTTTATTCAAGAATTTACTTTTAAAAAAATTATTTGATAAATCATATAATGAAAACATCTACTATATAATTTTTAAAAAATATATTAATTCGTGCGCGCAACTAGTTTTATAAAATAACTAGGCATATACGCAACCCAAACCTAGCCTCTCCCGCGTCTGGTAGTATAGCTGCCCATATCCCCAACTTCCCGGCGGAACTCTGTCTCTCTCTTTCTTCTCATAATAATACCGTTTGTTCCAAATGAAAATACTGGTAACTCTCTCGCTTATCCTTATTTTTATTGTCTTATTTAGTTTTTTTTCTATTCCATTTCTTCGCAGTTAGTTACTTCAAGACTCGGGACATTTTCTTTTTATTAGTCTCCCTTTCATTTTAAAATTTTTGGGTGAAATTTCTGCTGGAGAAGATAAAGATGCAAAGAAAAGAAGCAGATGAGCTGCCGCCTCAGGTGCCAATTTCTTGGGTCGAAATCTCCAGTTCGGTTTCTCGCCAATACCAATTTGAACCTGATGGTAAGCTGTCGGTAAGTTCTCCTTTCTTTTGCCAGAGAATTCCCCACGTTTTTATGTTTTATTGCTCGTTATAGTAACCAATGTACCAGTAAAACGAAGAAAAAGACATTGACCCAGTTAGGTAATTGCACTACGTAACGCCATTAGTGATATTTCAATAAATGTCCATTTCAAACTTTGGCTGCACAAGGAATTGGGTTAATGGGATTGGTTGCGGGGCTGTGCGGAAAGGTTTGGAAATTGAACATATTCTTCTTTAATAGGTACCCAGTAAATTAAACTACCGGTTAGTTAAAAGACAATTGCACTCTCATAACTATTATCTGAACAAAGCTAACTTTACTGCTCCTAAACCTTAAGTAATATTAATTGAACTTGAATTTCCCATTTACCCTTTGTCAGGGGCGGACACACATGGGTAGAAACCTTCCTCGGAAAAAAATTAAATGTTTATACTAATATTTTGCAAAAATGAAGCAATATATATAATAGCGACACCGTTTCCTGGCAAAGAGTAGTTCTTGGTCCACTAGTCAAGCTCGTATTTGGGCTTGTAAAGGTCGTAGATTCGAGGTTGGACCTAGACATTCTCTTTTTGAACATTTTTGAGCGAGCTTTTTTGTTAAAAATGTTAGGCTAAGGAGAATCAAATCTACACCTCCCTTTGCAATAATATTCAACTAAACCATTGGACCAAGGCTTTCAACTTGTGGGAAAATGATATTAAATAATACCTATTTATTTATTCTATTTATATAAATACAACACCGCTTACAAAAAGTTCCGCGTACGCCCCTGCCCTTTGTGACAAGCTTCTATAGCTACATAAATGTTATGCCATGTTTAAGATCATAAGTTTTAAAACTGTTATTGCCACACAAATATATGACAAATTTAAGACAACAAGTTTCGAAAATCTTCCTCTTTTTGTTAAACTCCAAGTCCAGTCAAACTACGCCATATAAATTGAAATAGAGAGAGTAATACTTTTGAGGGGTTATAAACATCTTGAGCATGTTAATGAGTATATATTACATCCCAGTGATAGGTATTCTATACTGGTTGTTTTTCCTTGCTGCCTGAATGTTCCACTGGACATAGTATGTACATTTTCCTTGTCATCTCCATTTATCAGAAGTTTATTGCACCTGAAATAGAGACTTGCCACTCTGTACTACGTCATCCTTGTCCTGTTAATATATCAAAAAAGTACTTCACTTGCATCTCAATAGAGACTTACTACCATGCACCAAGTTTTCCTTATCATGTTAATTAGTCAAAAGACTTTACTTGCCTTTCAAATAGACACTTACTTCAATGTCTCTTTACAGGTCAGGATGGTTGATGACTCAAGACCAGTTGCACAGAGAATGGTTGAATCCTTTCTGAATAAATTTTTTCCATCTGGTTATCCTTATAGGTGTGGATTTCTTAGAAATCATTTCTCAACAGTTGTAGTTTCTCATAAGCGTCATGAATAAAGGGCAGCCCGGTGCGCTAAGCTCCCGTTATACATGGGGTCCGGGGAAGGGCCGGACCACAAGGGTCTATTTTATGCAGTCTTACCTTGCATTTCTGCAAGAGGCTGTTTCCGCGGCTTGAACCCGTGACCTCCCGGTCACATGGCAACAACTTTACCGGTTACGCCAAGGCTCCCCTTCGTATAAGCTTCATGAATATGTAATGTAAATAGCTGCTCTTGATTGCTTCTGCAGTGTGAATGAGGGCTATCTGAGATACACACAATTTCGAGCACTGCAACACTTCACAAGTGCAGCATTATCCGTTTTGTCGACTCAGGTCTTCTTCTAACTATGAAGAATCTGACAGACTGCTAAACTTTTTGCGGCTTCATAAAAAAATTTAAACTGTACTATCTTCAAAAAAAAAAACACGCACTCAGAGACGAACACTATATTATATAGTGCTGGCTGAAATTGCCTTTTGCTCTTAATACCTAAATACATAATACATCCGTTAAAATGATGGTATTTTTAAGTATTGCTCCTTTGCAGTCACTGCTATTTGCTGCAGGCTTGCGTCCTACACCTGCTCAGGCAACTGCAGTGAGCTGGGTAAGTTTTTTATCTAGTTGACAGACTTAACGCATGAGCTCCTTAATTATTTTGTCCATTTCCCTTTCCCTTTTTTTGGAGGTATGTTACGATTGTTTTGTTTATTTACAGATATTAAAGGATGGCATGCAGCATGTGGGAAAGCTCATATGTAGCAACTTGGGTGCACGGATGGATTCTGAGCCTAAACGTTGGAGAATTTTAGGTTTACATGATGTCCATGGAGCACTGTGCTATGCTGTGATTCTGCTTATTTCTTTAAAGGAGTTGTTACTGCAGGAATTGATTCTATTACTTGCATTTCTCTGTCACATTATAAAGATTTTAATTATATTAGCTTTCTATACTGCAGCTGATGTTCTGTATGACTTGGGGACTGGTTTAGAAGTTATGTCTCCTTTATGCCCACATCTGTTTCTTGAAGTAGCCGGCCTTGGCAATTTCGCAAAGGTAAGTTTCTCTGCGTACTAATAAAGAGGAGCATTGATTGGACTATTCAGGGAGATCTATAAACTTATGAACGACATTGATCCGATGTAGATTGTATTATACATTTATTTCTTGTTACTCCGTCTATTCCTCTGGCAGACATGATTTCCCTTTTTTTTTTTCTCATTCGAAAGTTCTCCCCCATTATCCTGAATTGATAAATAGTATTCTTCTAACAGCGTTTTTTTTGTTTTGTTTCATAGAGCAGGAGCAAAAAATACTGCTCAATATATTTAATACAAGAATAGATCTATCGAGAAGTTGATCTTATGTACACTATATACCACCTTTTTTTCGTTCATCATTACACTTTATATATGAAGAATAATAGGATTGAAAAATTTGTATAGAGGAAACTGGAATTTCCAGAACTCTGAGCGAATGACACGACTTACTCTAACGTCGCAATTTCTTTTATGATAAAATCTCCCTTGAAAGAGTAATATTTCTCCTTTTGGAGTAGTGTTCATTTACTTTCTCTATCTATGAAAGAAATATTATTAGTCAAAGCTTAACTATGGTATATTTTGAAAATTGTAAATTATCTAAGCTTCTGTTCTGTGATTTGTGAGATACTTGTTGCTAGCAATGTTAACGAACCTATTTTTTTTAAAATAGAAAAATTTCTTTGGAGTTGTCAGGGAATGGCAGTTGTTGCAGCTAGAGCAACAAGATTGCCGATATATTCTTCATTTGCCAAAGAAGGAAATCTTAGTGATCTGTTTGCTAAAGGCGAGGCTATTTCCACTCTTTTTAATGTTCTCGGGCTCGGAGCAGGAATTCACTTAGCATCTACTATTTGTTCATCAATGCAGGGAAAGGTACTGTTTTATTACCACCAAAGGTGTATTATCTACATTTCTTTTATTCAGCTCTGACCCCTTTTCTATCGGAAACAGCCTCTCTGTCCTTCTAGGGTAGGGGTAAGGCTGCATATATCTCACCCTCCCCAGACCCCACTTGCGAGAAAATACTGGGCTTCTTGTTGTTGTTGTTGTTGTTGCTTTGACCCTTTTATAGGGCTTCCAAATCATGTTTAAACTAGGAGTATTAAACTTTGATGCGATTATAAAATCCACTATGCAGAATTGTTGGTTTGACATCACCGTGAACTGTTAACTATGCCATGTGTTACTTTGATGAATAGACACCTGGTGTTGTAACTCTGTACTTATAGGAGTAGTGCACTCATGGTATGGCTCCAGCTTACAGGAGCTGCAAGGTTTTCCCTGAATACTTTTTCTGGCGGTAGCATGAAGAGTTCACAATTTAAAGCTATAGCAAGTAAGATTCTTTAGATAGTCCATGAAGCAGATATAAAGGATAAGACATATATCATATTTAAATGGTAATCTTTGAAACATACTTATACTAGTGTTTGTTATGTGTATATGGAGAGAGAGTATAGAGAAAAGGGAGTGCAAAAGTGTGGCAGGAGAAAATGTCATTTAGAAGGTTGGAGAATTTTATCTTTAGAGCCTACTGATAGTGCTTCTGAAAGTAGTAATCAAGTAAGAGTGATGGTAACATCAGTTATATTGGTTGTCATATTCTTTTTGTTGATGTCATCTTAGCGTTAGGTGAGTCTGAGCTTTGTACCTAAGTTAATGAAATCCCATGTATGCTTCTCTCTGTAGCTATCTAAATTTATTTTCCTTTGTTGTGCTTACAAACCTCAAGCTGGTAGAAGTACAAGAAGAATTTGTGTCCTAAGATGTCCAAAATCACATTGACTTGAAAAAGTTACTAGACGTTCTCGGTATATCTGCTTCCCAAACCTCAAAGATGAGTAAAATGAAATTGTAGGAACTTTTGTTCCAGGGGTCCTTTGGCTTCTATTCCCTGCTGAGCTCAGTTTTTACCAGAGCATGGTAATACAATCATGTAGACTGTTTAGCCCAATTACTTGTAGAGAACGCAAGGAAGTGTGTTGTCATTTTAGGTTCACAGGGTTGAGTTGTTATTGCAGTTGATTAGAGGGTCCTTTCCGATTCTGAAAATATTGAATACCCTGCAGTTGGTTGTTGCGCCGCTGCTGTCTATTATACACGTTTACAGTGTCTGTGAAGAAATGCGAGCTACTCCTGTCAACACATTAAATCCGCAGAGAACTGCAATGATTGTTGCCGAATTTGTGAAGGTACATATCTAAAGTTGCAAAGGTGAGACAGATCGAATACCATATCAATTAACTGAGTTCTCCATTATATTATCTAGACTGGAAAAATCTCAAGTCCTGCTGACCTAAGATATCAAGAAGATCTCGTATTTCCTGGAAGGCTGATAGAGGATGCTGGAAATGTAAAGGTGGGAAGGTCTCTGCATGAAGTAGTTAGCCCTTCAAAGCTGCGACAATTTAAAGAAACATTTCACGAGGAGAAGTTCCTTTTAAACCGTGGTAGTAGATGGACTGATATGATACTGGAGCACGATGCAACTGGTGAAGATGCACTGAGGGGTTGGATGGTTGCTGCTTATGCTTCAGATATGGAACGATTAGCTAGGGAACCAAGTACAAATATCTCACAAGAGGCTTATGAGAAGATGAATTCTGTGTTCTCCCCATTTTTAGCTGAGCTGCAGGCAAAAGGGTGGCATACTGATCGATTTCTTGATGGTACTGGAAGTCGTTTTGTGTTTTAGTTCTGTAAGTATCAAATTCTTGGTACTTTGTTATCCTCTTACATTGGTATAGTATATTGTCACGAAGACACAAGATTCACTGCATCATTTAGGAAGACTTTGGAGAAAATGTGTCTTGTGAAAGCAATACAAATCTCTTACTACTGAGACAAAATGTAAGCAAGAGACTATTTTTTTTTTCCTTTCAAAACACGCACAATTTGTTTAAGGTGGCAATGTCCATGAAAAAATAGCATGGTTTTCCTCTGATCACTATATCAAAAAGGCTTTTGATAAGTCCAATTTATTGGGAGTTCAATGGGCTATGTGTGGACTAAGCTAGCGTTTGGCCATAGATTCCCAAATTTGTTTTGAAAAATCTGATTTGGGTGAAGTTTGGTTTGAAGATGAAAATGTGTTTGGACATGATTTTTCAAAACATATTTCACTTTTTATTTGAAAAAACATGAAACATGACTTATACCCACAAGTTCCAAAAACTATCACATACCCAATAGTATCATTATTACAAATCATAGCTCTGAACATAAATAAGTTTGGTACAAAATTATCATTTGTATAATGAACTATATAAATCATTAATTACAGTGAAATCCCATTAGAGAATTACGGCTCCTAATTAAGAAGAAAAAATTAACTGATATGAGTGTTCAGAAAGCCATTTAGCCTACAAATCAGAAGCAAAAGTAAGATGTACAAAGGATTGAGCTGATAAGGGAGCATATTCATCAAATATTTAGTTGGTCGTAATAAATGTGGGCTCTTTTATAAATTATAAAAGTTTGGGGTAATATTTTAAAAAAATTAAAAATGTAACGGTCATGTTTTGGCCCAAAATCAACAATTGAGGTGATTTTGGGATTTTGGATTTGGGATTTTGCCAAAATGTGGATAAAATCTATGGCCAAACATGTGTTTGCCAAATAAATCCCAAATTTATTTTGGCAAAACTCATGGCCAAACGGGTCCTAAGTGTTCACTATTATGGTGTAGTTTTATCTATAGCCACTTTGCGAACTGTTTTTCTCAAAGATTTCCCTACCACCAACCCTCAAAAATCTCCCCTTTGGACTTTCTCGCATTTAGGTGTGGCTTATTTCCCCTTTTTAGTCTTCCTATACACTGGCAATTATTTTAAAAAGGTGCAGACCGGTGTTACCTTTTTTTAAAGTGTTAAAACCAATTGGATATCTGATGATATATTCAGTATTATTATCGCAAAATTTGCACATTGCATTTCGGCGCATGCATCAACGTGGGAACTGACAATTGCATTTGCGTCTCTTTTTTGGTTGCAGCAAGTACATGTCCTGTGGGGATAGCTGAAAACTAGAAGTAGATGATGAATGGAAGTACAAGAGGGGATGAAGCGTATTTTAGACTTCCAAACGTTTTTTTATATATAAATAAAGGAAGTATTATATTAATGAGGTTCTGTTATGAAATATTATCTTATATAATATAGTGGAGGTCTATAACTCCCAAAGAAGTTACTCCCACTACTCTTTTTCATTAACCTCTCATTACTTCTTACCATTATAGTTGTAACTCCTACATCTAAATAACCTCCTCCATGATCTCAATAGTTAATATCATGTTCATGGCATCCCTTTTATTACCTCAATATCATCCTATAAATAGAAGGTTTGGGCATCACATTGTACACACTTGGAAAAACACTTGATGAAATAAGAAAGCTCTCTCTTCCTCTCTACATCTATTATTTTTCCTTGTTTCATATTGTTACTTTAAGCTTAGTTTCTTAATACGTTATCAGCACGAAGCACTAACCAAGTGAGAAGATAACTTATTTGACGATGGAATTATGAATGGACGACAACCTTCAATCAATTTGGTTGAGCCTATGGAAATCTGGGCATCTCGTATGCCATATCAATGTTATGTTTGCTTCTATTATACAGGGAGTATCATTTTTCAATTGCCATGAATTCTGCAATTAACTTGCGTTAATATTTAAGACTTGGTCTAGTTTGTGTTACTTAACAATTTAGTTTCATTTTTGCAGATGTATATATATTGAGTACCTCTGCTTTCGAGTAGCAAATAAGAGCATATTTCGATGCCTTGACATCATCTCCCATATGTATTTCTCCGACAGTTTGCAAGCCAAGATTATGGAACTGTTAACTATTGAGAAGGCTTCTAATTAATATTAAAAATAAAAAGAATTTAAATTTATTTTGTGGTCAAAATAAATTTTGTATGACTAAGATAGTTCTATTCCCTTTATATTTGATCATGTGGTTGTTCGTGAAAAAGATCCATGCGAACTCTTACTAAAGTCCGGGTAAAAAATAACTGATCATTAGAAAGTAGTATATCATGATAGGCTCAAGGGTGAGTTCATTTTGGCTTATTATGCCATTGTATGAGAATAAGTCATTGGGTTTGATTTCTGGTGCACCATGATAATAAGAGTTGGGTTCAAGTCCTAACTCATTATGGCCTAACATGTCTTTATAAGGGTAAGGTATTGGGTTTGAGTCTCAATGCACTATATTGATGATATAATGATGACTAAAGAAAAATAATGTATTTTTCATGAAAAAATATGAAGCTTGTCTCACTTGATTTGCTCCATTCATGAAGTGAATGTGATAGCGGTGCATAATAAGTCTAAATGAAGACAAGTGATTGACCAATGAACGTGGGTGTGCCAAATATCAAAATAATAATAGTCATCATTATGGTAATTGTAAAAAGGAGAACAATAAGATTTTTGAAAATAATCCTTCAAATGTGAAGGAAATGTGTATCAATGTGACATGTAAATATGAGGCAATCCATTCCTTGAAAATATGACTTGTGATAAACATTGTAAATGCACACTCATTTATGAAAGTAAATGTGAAAATATACATATGTGATACAAATTATGCATAAGAATGTGCTTATGCATAATTGAATAAATACTACAACATACATCTACGGGAGATTGAGAGAAATAAAGATAATGGACATTACTATGTGGCTACAAGAATATGTCATTGGTCGCGTACATGTGGTACGCTAAAAATATTTTGTCATGCCTTATAAAAAGTTATTAAAGGCCAAATTAAAGCAAGAAATGATTTTGCTTATGATGATTTTGACCATGACAATAATAATATAATTTTTTCTGTGGAGGAGATATTTAACACTTGGATGGTTTGATAAAAGATCGTGTATTATAAAATTAATTGAGAGCTCCGAAAGAGCGAATTTATTATTACCCGAATAAATAAAATTATTCATGGCATTGGTGAAAGTAAGTCTCAAAAGGAACTTTTTGAGTTTCAAAGATATTAGCCAAAGTGGTTAGCATTTGAGACTACAAATGAAAGGAAGATTGAATATCTTTATATTACTATAATCATACCGGATAAATATAAAAGACTACCCGATTTTTCTTCTATTTGTACTACACATATATAAGCATGATGATGAAATCACATGCCACAAGTAAACTAGAGGTTTACTGAAACAAATATAAGTTGACATGACCGGTTGGCCATCCCGGTTCAATTGATGCGAAAATTAATTGAGAATTCACATTGGCATATATTAAAGAAATACAATATATATATATATATATATATATATATATATATATATACATATATATACCTGCCATGTGGACCATTTATTATTATATAATTTTAAAGATGCATCTATTGTATGGTCACATGTGCGTTTGTTATCAACTTACAGTTTGCTTTTGCAAGGTTGCTTACTCAAATTATTAGAGCACAGTTCCAAAATATAAATTATGATGAGTTATCTTGATAATGCTGATTTAAATCCAAGTTGATTTAATAGAAATTGTATGCCTCCAATTATAGCTAAACCATTGGTTATGAGAACAAAACTCCCAAATAGAAATTTGGTATGAGATGTATTATTTAATATACAACAGTACTTGTACGCATCTAGCCAAATTATGATCAATTCTCCCCATCACAATTGGTTCAGGGTCAGGAACCAAATTATTTTCATCTAAAAATATGAATGTGCTATATGATTTAATTATTCCACCATAATACACAAAGATGAGTCCTCAAAATGTTGGGGATATGTATTGATGATCCCAACATTAGAGGGAGAAAATGGGCAGCTGAAAAAGTGATACGTGAAATGAATTATTATGAATACATCTAGATCCCCGTACAAGAAAATGTGAACTTGAAGTTCAAGTGATTATTCATTTGCAAAATATTGCCAGGGGCATTTACAAACCCAAAGCCAAATGTTATATTTCAACTGCTAAATACTCCAAATAGAATAAACCCACGATGGACATAGTCTATGGAAAGCATAAAGCGTAATAGACTAATCGATTTCAAAAATAAAATTCTTTGAAGAAGGAGAGAAGCAAATGATTAAGATGATCATAATAAGGAGACAAGTGCTCTAAAAGAGCACCACGACATAACACGTCATAAGACCTTATGGGAGAGGCTTAGGTACCTGAAAATAATGAGATAAAGAGATCTCAATAAATTATGTCTTTATTGGGTAATAATGAAACTAATATAAAATGATCGTCGACGATATTGTTGATACAATATAGCGCTAAATATTATTAAGGTTGCTGAATTTTGTACCTTTTCTGCTCATCCTTCTGTATCTTAATGTATGTGCCAAGGTTTCTTATTTTAATCGTGTAAAGGTTTGATGGCAGTCCTTCGTAGCTCTGCTCCGGCGTTCCTCTTATCTCATAGGTTGTAGCACACGTCATGCCTTGTGGTAAGTCAATATTCCTTCTCATTTGGATCCCCACCCTTTAGGTGAAAATGGACACGCTGCCCATCAGACCAGATAAGCTTGTTTGTCAAATAGTATCATTTACTTTATATAACTGTTTAGACACACTATTTATATGTCTATTTAGTAAAATTTTCCGGCTAAATGACACCGTTTCGACTAACTTGCGGCGGAAGAATAGGAGCTACGGGTTCGGCCGAACCCGTTGGTTTTGATGCAAATCATGTATTTGTCTTAAGAAATTCATTGAATATGTATAAATTATTAATTTAGAAACCCAATAACTTAAAGAATTTAAAATCCCGAACTCATAAATTTCATATCTGGCTCCGCCTCTGCTTGCATCCGCCCCTGATTAAAAATGATAATATTTGACATGCACTTCTTCAAATGTTCTTTGTCTTCAAACAAAGATTGCAGGCTTATTTCCCGCAAAGAAGTGTTTGACCTCAAAATAAGAGTTTCAAATTCTTTTCTTTACATGCGCGACCTTTTCTGTACATTCTTGGAAACATTAGGTGTGTGTTTTATTTC